GTCATGCTAGCCATATTTTGGTCAACTCATGTGCCTAATGGCTACCATATTGAGCAGCATGGATATAGAAGTTTTTTAAAAAATCATTACAAAAGTTCTGTTGGGGAGCATTGTACTTGAGCCCCAAGATCCTTTTTTATTGGGGTCCTGTGGAGCGTTCGGTGTGCCTAGTGCAGCGGTTCTCAACCTGTGGGTCGCGACCCCTTTGGCGGTCGAACGACCCTTTCACAGGGATCGCCTAAGACCATCCTGCATATCAGATATTTACATTACAATTCATAACAGTAGCAACATTACAGTTATGAAGTAGCAACGAAAATAATTTTATGGTTGGGTCACAACATGAGGAACTGTATTTAAAGGACCAGAAGATTGAGAACCACTGGCCTAGTGCATAACTAATAATGCATGGCTTTATGGCCTCTTATCCCTTCTAAGTAAAACTTCCTGTGAAGAGGTCCTCCCCCTCCCAAGTGTAGTGTGTGCTGGAATATGAGGAAAATAATTGGGTTACCTAACCGTTATTAGGTACCCAGTAATGTACCAGACATTGTTCTTTAATCACCATTTTATAGATGTTGAAATTGAGACACACAGAGCTGAAGTTGTGAGGTTAATGTCACAGAGCTTGGAAGTGATAGGGCCAGAATTTGAACCAATGCAGTTTGCAGACAACTGAAATTATTTCTTGTTGGGATAGTTTTGAAACATGGATTCTAGATGATTATGTGATGGGATTAATCTGGTAGTTCTGCATAAATTTAGAATTGCCACCCCACCTCTGTTTGCCAAAAAAGGTCTGGCTAACTCTACAGTCTTGCTAAAACAAAGACAAAACAAAACACAGAAAAACCTCTACGTTTGGGTTGTCATGACCCACTCCCATTGCCACTTTGGTTTTTTGGTTGTTTTTTAAAAATATTTTTATTGATTTTAGAGAGGAAGGGAGAAAGATAGAAACATCAATGAGAGACAATCATTGATCGGCATGTTGAAATAGTTGTAGAAATGAATGAATGATGTGTAGGTCAGATGTTTTGAAAAATAGGTGGTAAATGAGCAAAATGGTGAAAAATGAAGTAATAAGTTCTATAATTAATTATTTTGTATAGTGACAGTACCAATAGAAATTGCATGATTCCCCCCAAGAACCCTCAGAATTCACTGATACAGAGGGCCGACTGTATTATCACAACTTGCTTATTTATTTACTAGATACTGGACATTTGGGCTGCTTTCAGTGTTTGGCTGTTATGAATAAACCAACTTGGAACATGCACATTCATTGCTCTTGAATAATTACCTAGGAGTAGGATTGCTAGGTTGTCTAAGTATGTTTTACAGTGGGGCCTTGACTTACGAGTTTAATTCGTTCCGTGACAGAGCTCGTAACTCAAATTATTCGTATGTCAAATCAATTGTGAACGAGTGAGACACGTGATGCTGGGCTGATGTTGTGGCGTTCACTGTGATGTTCGCTGCGCCAACTAGCAGTGGGGTATCTGAAGCTGGCTCGTAACCCGAATTTTAGCTCGCAACTCAAAGCAAAAAATCGGCCGAGAGACAGCTCGTATCTCGGAAAACTTGTTAGTCGGGACACTCGTAAGTCAAGGCCCCACTGTACTTTATAAGAACCCCTGCCCAACTTTTCCAAGTGACTGTCATTTTCCCTTCCCACCAGCAGTTTATGAGAGTTTCAGTTGCTCAGCATCCTCACTAGTAGTTGTATTGAGAGTCTTTAATTTTACCCACTAAATCTTATTTGGTTAAATGAGTGTGTAAGTCTTTTGCACACTTATTTTTTTATAATATATTTTTATTGATTTCAGAGAGGAAGGGAGAGGGAGAGAGAGAGATAGAAACATTGATGATCAGCTGCCTCCTACATACCCCCCTACTGGGAATCAAGCCCACAACCCGGGGAATGTGCCCTTGACCGGAATCGAGCCTGGGACCTTTCAGTCTGCAGGCCGACGCTCTATCCACTGACCCAAACAGGCTAAGGCCACACTTACTGTTTTATTAATCTTTATTTTATTAAATTATATGAGTTCTTCATATATTCTGGGTATAAGCCCATTATTATATATTTTGTAAACATTTCCTTGTCTGTGGATTGACTTTTCATTTTAATAGCATCTTTCAAAGAATAGACTACTTAAGCCCAGCTGATGTGGCTCAGTGGTTGAGCATCTACCCAGGAACCAAGAGGTCACTGGTTCAATTCCCAGTCAGGGCACATGCTTGGGTTTTAGGCTTCATCCCCAGTAAGGGATGTGCAGGAGGCATCCTATCAATGATTCTATCTCATCATTGCTGTTTCTCTCTCTCTCTCTCTCTCTCTCTCTCCCCCTCTCCCTCTCTCTCCCTTCTCTGAAATCAATAAAAATACATATTTTTTTAAAAAAAAGAATAGACTAAAAATTTGGTGAAGCCTAATTTATCAGTTTTTTTTGTTTTATCGTTTTTATTTTTTCTGTTCTATCTGACATCTTTGTCTAATCCAAGGTCATAAAGATCTTCTCCCATGTTTTTTTTTAAAGTTTTATTTAAACCTTTTATGATCATTAGGCCATTAATCTATTTTGAGTTAGCCTTGCTAAGCTCTTATTTGTAGTAGCTTTTTTGCAGATTCACTTGGGATTTTCTGTATAAATGATTATGTGGTCTTTTTTAAAAAATGTATTTATTGATTGTATGGAGGAAGGGAGAAATATAGAAACATCAATGATGAGAGAGAATCATTGATAGGATGCTTCTTGCATGCCCCCTACTGGGGATTGAGCCTGCAACCTTAGCATGTGCCTCGACAACGACCTCCTGGTTCATAGGTCAGTGCTCAACCACTGAGCAATGCTGGCCAGACAATTATGTGGTCTTTTAAAGACAGTTTTCTTTCTTCCTATCCAATCATTGTGCCTTCATTTCTTTTCTTTTTTTTTTTTTTTTTGTTAATCCTCTCCTGCGGATATTTTCCCATTTATTTTTAGGGAGAGTGGAAAAGAAAGGGAAAGAGAAATATTGATGTGAAAGACATTGGTTGGCTGCCTCCTGCACGAGCCCTGACCAGGGCCCGGGCTGGGGAAGAGCCTGCAACCAAGGTATGTGCCCTTCACTGGAATTGAACCCAGGACCCTTTGGTCTGCAGGCCAGCACTCTATTCACTAAGCCAAACCGGCTAGGGCAGTGGTTGGCAGATGGCACCTAAGTGCAGATTACTTATGATGCTGAATGTTTGTAGTTCTAAAATTGACCACTGGCATTTATCTGCCTAATTTTTTACAGGTACTACGATTTCATGAAGTTTACTCAGATTTTATAGCCCTAAAGCTTCGAAATGGTGTCCAGTTCTAAATCTGCTTTTATTAGTGATGATGATATTGCTAAATATGTCAATTCTTGCTGTGAAGATGACGATTTTGTGGAAGATATTGGAGAAGGGTGTCCCTCTATTTTAACATATGTTTTGTTCAAATTTTTTTTCTACTAGTATTTTGTAATACAATCAACAAACAATATATGTCAAAGATGAAAACAAATGTATTAAAGCTTTCCTTAAGTTTTTGAATATGTAACTTCATTTACTTGCGATTCACAATTTTTTTTCTTAAACTGTAAAATCAGCAAAAATGCCTTGGCAATTTTAGCATAGTTCCTAGGATATTGGTTGGCACTCAAAGGGTTAAATGGCAGTTATTGACATCGCAGCCCCATTTTTTTTAGTACAGGCTTTTCTTGTAATGACTCAGTAAGTATTTTAGGCTTTTTGGGCCATATAACTTCTCTGTTGCATATTCTTCCTGGCTTTTCTTTTTTTAAAACAACCTTTTAAGAACTTAAAAAACATGCTTAACCGCAAAGGCCAGACAAAAACAGGTTGTTGGCTGTAGTTTGGTGACTCTTGTTTTAGAGAATGATTACTTTGAAAGTTTGCATTTCCATTTTTTTCTTTCTCTTTGGGCTCATTGACTTATTAAATACTTAGTAAGTGTATCTGTATATATAAAAGGCTAATACGCAAAGTGTCCCCTCAGGAGTTCGACTGGGAGACCTGGAGTTCGATCGCTTGCTATCACGTGCGCTGACCACCAGGGAGCGGTGTGGAATGAAGGAAGGCCCTGGCCAGCAGCCAGCAGCTGGGGAAGGAAGGCCCCAGCTGGCAGCTGGAAGCTCCCGATCAATCCTGATTGCATCCAGGCCTAGGGACCCTTCCCGTGCACTCCCCGTAGGGAGTGGGCCTAAGCAGTTAGTCAGACATCCCCCAAGGGCTCCCTGACTGCAAGAGGGCACAGGGCGGGCTGAGGGACCCACTGAGTGCACAAATTTCGTACACCAGGCCTCTAGTATTTCCTAATAACAAGGATGTTCTGTTACAAGACCACAGGTAATTAATATTATGTCAAACTGTTATCTACGGGCCTTATTCAGACTTTACCAATTGTTTACTCTGTGGTCCAAGAACCATTCCAGGATTGCAAGAACCATTCCAGGATTGCATGTTTCATTCAGGTGTCATGTCTTTGTGGCTTCCTTTAATCTGAAGTAGTTCCTTAGTTTTTCTTCATCTTTCATGACTTGACACTTTTTAAAAAATATATATTTTATTATTTTTACAGAGGAAGGGAGAGGGATATAGAGTTAGAAACATCAATGAGAAACATCGATCAGCTGCCTCCTGCGCACTCCCTACTGGGGATGTGCCCGTAACCAAGGTACATGCCCTTGACCGGAATTGAACCTGGGACCCTTCAGTCTGCAGGCCGACGCTCCATCCACTGAGCCAAACCGGTTAGGGCATGACTTGACACTTTTGAAGATGTTAGTTATTTTGTAGAATGTCCCTAAACTAGGGCTTGTCTGACATTCCCTCATGATTAGATTCAGATTATACATTTTGACAGGAATAGTACAGAAGTGATGAGTATTCTTTAAAATATATATATATATATATATTTTTTTTTTTTGTGAGGGAGAGAGGAATTTAGTGCAGCATTGGCCCTGGAGAGAGGAATTTAGTGCAGCATTGGCCCTGGAGGGGGCTGGGACGGGGTGGTGGGGCTCCGTCCGGGGGTTCCACGGCGCCTTCCTTTGCGGTGGCCCCGTAAACAGTGTGTGTGACCACAGCCTTCCTCTTCCTCCTCATCACTCTCCGTAGAGCTCTCACCAAAGGCCCGAGGTTTCTCATAAATACAACAGCATTTTGATGAGCGGCGCCCCTTGTGTTCGTTGTCCATAGTGTCACTCGTCCATTCCACCTTTTTCTCTGGCTTCCGTTTCCGAAGTTTGATGGTCAGGCTCCGGTTCTCTCGGGCTCGGTTGTCACGGTAACCGTTGTCTCAGTGCCGGTCTCACTCAGCCTGGCCCCAACTCGGCCATGGCTGAGGGAAGGAGGGAGAAACACCCTTCCCTTGCTCTGCGTCTCCGGGACCTAAGAGGATCGGTATCGGACTCCAAAAATATATATATTTTTATTGATTTCAGAGAGGAAGGGAGAGGGAGAGAGAGAGAAACATCAATGATGAGAGAAAATCATTGATCAGCTGCCTCCTGCACACCCCCAGTGGGGATTGAGCCTGCAACCCAGGCATATGCCCTTGACCTGAATCAAACCCATGACCCCTCAGTCTGCAGGCTGATGCTCTATCCACTGAGCCAAGCCAGCTAGGGCCGAGTATTCTTATTGTTTGATATCAGGTGCATGGGGTCCGTTTGTCCCATTGCTGGTGCTGTTAACTTGGATCACTTGATTAGGGTGGTGTCTGCTAGGTTCCTTTACTGTGAAGTTATTTTTTACTTTGTCATTAATCAGAGTCTTGTGGGGAGTTATTTTGTGACTACCAGATTTAGCATCCATTGGTGATTTTTTTGCCTGAAAAATTTATTATGGTGGTTACCAAATGGTAATCCTCTAATTCCATCATTCCTAATACGTTTATTAGTTGGAATTCAGTTGTCAGGCTGGTAGTATGATTAGGAGATGGAGCATAAGATGATCTCTCTAGGTCAGCGGTTGCCAACCTTTTGGATCTCACAGATCACCAGTTGGCGACTGCTGCCCTAGGAGTAGGGGCAGGGCTCTGGCTGGGGTGGCACACGATTCTGTGCGGAGTACACCTTCCATAGCCTGGGAGCTATGTGAAAGGTACAGAAGGTCCAAGTAGAAAGCCTTTCTTCTAGATGGATTGACCCTTTTATCACTGTAATATATCCCTCTTTATCTTCATTAACATTTTTGTTTTAAAGTCTTTTGTCTGATAGTACAGTCATTCCAGCTTTCTTGTATGTGCTGTTTGCACGATAGCCTTTTCCATCCTTATACTTTTAATATATTTGTATCTTTGAATCTGAAGTACCTCTTTTTTAAATATGTTTTTATTGATTTTTAGAGAGAAGAAGGGAAAGGGATAGAAGAGAGAAACATCTATCAGCTGCCTCCTGGACATCCCCCACTGGGGATCAAGCCCACAACTTGGGCTTGTTCCCTTACCGGGAATTGAACTGAGACCTCCTGGTTCATGGGTCGATGCTCAACCACTGAACCACACCATCTGGGCGGCACCTGTATTATTTTGAAGCAGTATACACTATTATTTTTGTAACTTTCTTTGTGTGAATTTGGCATATTGAATCACACTTTAAGCTAATTAATAACTATTAAAAGCTTAGAAACCAGGGTATAGTTTTGTTAAATCTGATCAATCTAATCATAAGTATATTTAGGACTAGAATGTGATCTTGGCTTTTCTTTGAGATTCAATTTTTTGTAACTAAGTGAAATATTAGGATACCTATTTCAGAATACTAAAGAGAAATAAAAGTAAAGCATAATCTGAATAGATCCAAAAAGAGAGAAAAAACAAGGATGCATTTGGCATTTTATCAGTTTCAGAGAATGCTGCTGTGATATGCTAACATTCCACCTTGGGTGCCCAACCACCTGTTATATCAGGAGAAATCAGTGGTTTCCACACTTTGTACCACTTTATACAACTTTGAGTCTTTTATTATTTTCCCTGTTGAACTATTTGATCTGAGTAAATTGGATTGTCAAAACAATTGCTCTTTATTAGTCAAAGGTAGAAATGTAATAATCAATAAAAATAGTGTGACTACTATAAAAGAGTTTTATGTTTTAAACTCTTAAGTAGCTTTGTGAGTTTAAGGGCACTTAATTAGGCATTTGCTTAAGTCTTTTAACGATGGCATCTCAGCAACCACTAAGATGAGATAACCCTTCTAAACAAGATTTAGTCATTTTTTAGCTTTTGGCTACAGACTACAAATAAATAGAAAAATCTAAATTATTCAAATAATGTCTGAAAAAATGTACAAATTTGATTAGGCGTAATTGTGAGGCTAGTTTATTCCCTGTGATGCAATTTCAGAGAGGCAGCATAAGCTAGAAATGAAGAGTCTGGACTTGGGATCACCTGGTTCACATACCACCTCCTGCTCATGAGCTGAATGATTTTGGTCAAGATGTTTAACTAACTGCCAAGGTTTGGTTTCATAGCCTCTAAAGGAGGGATGAGAGATTTGACATTGTGCTTACCATAGTGTCTGGTTTTTAGTCAGTTCTATAAATGGTAAATTATTGGTCATATTTAGACTTTAGGAAGTTCTCTGTGCTGTGTGTGAGGCAGTCACAGAATCAGAATATTGGAAATGAAAGGAATCCCAGAGGTGATTTGGTTCAAGACATTATCTTCTAGATGAGGGAAGGTGACAGAGTTGGAGACCAAATTGGCCCTGGCCTCAGTGCTAAGGGCAGTGCTACTTTGCTGGGAATTGACACCATTCAAAACTGCTAGACCTTTTTTTTTTATTTTTTTTTTTTAGAATAGGGTGTTTTTATGGCACACCCAAGGTTTTTTGTTTTTTTAAAAAAATGTATTTTTATTGATTTTTTACAGAGAGGAAGGGAGCGGGATAGAGAGTGAGAAACATCGATGAGAGAGAAACATCGATCAGCTGCCTCCTGCACACCCCCTACTGGGGATGTGCTCACAACCAAGGAACATGCCCTTGACCGGAATCGAACCCGGGACCTTTCAGTCTGCAGGCCGATGCTCTATCCATTGAGCCAAACCGGCTAGGGCACTGCTAGACTTTTTAGACCTGAATTGTACTTCTCTTTGAATGGTTTAACTTTGTATCTTTTTGTTTTTCTTTATTGATTAAGGTATTACATATGTGTCCTTATCCCCCATTGCCCCCCCCCCCCCCCTTGCTCTCACCCTCCTGGTGTCTGTGTCCATTGGTTAGGCTTCTATGCACGCATACAAGTCCTTTGGTTGATCTCTCCCTTAAGTTTGTATCTTAGTTTGAGAGTTATGATTGTATCAAAACGAGACCCCAGTTTTGTTACTCTAGAGTAACTCATGTTTTTAGGAATATAACATTTCACTTTATCAGTGTTTTTATAATTTCCTAAGGGTTCTAATCTTTTCTAATGGAACAAGCCTTAGGGTGTATTATGTTCTATAATAAAATTGAAAATAGAGTCCACATTACTGGAAATTACTTGACAGCCAGCTTCATTGGTGTGCTACATTGTTTCAGAAGGCACTTGTTACCTAGATTCTGAAGAAGGCACTTACTATTTAACAGGATGTAACTTTTTAAAATCCTCATCCAAAGATATTTTTCCATTGATTTTTAGAGAGAGTAGAAGAGAGAGGGAAAGGCAGAGAGGAACATCAATGTGAGAGAAACACATTGATTGGTTGCCTCCTGCACGCCCTGACCAGGGCCCGGGCTAGGGAGGAGCCTGCAACGGAGGTACGTTCCCTTGACTAGAATTGAACCCGGGACTCTTCAGTTCGTAGGTTGACGCTCTATGCACTGAGCCAAACCTCCTAGGGCCAATTTTACTTATTTTGAGACGTTTTTCTGCAGTTGTAAACACAGTACCTATTCTTAGAGGTGAGGGAAAAACATAGGAAGTGACTTGATGTCAGTCACATCAGGAACAGAATCTATATTTTGCTCCTGAGTAGCTTTTCATGACAGAAGGATTGATTACTTTTGGAGTAAAGATTATTATATTTAGTATTGGTTATTCCAGTACTAAATTTTGAGTTTGATATTGTTCAGTTTCTTTCCTCCTGCCTTCCTTCCATGACCCATACCTGTTCTGGGCCTCAGAGCCAGCAAAGCAGAGAGAGACGGGGGTACTGTTCTTAGCTTTTATACTTAATATTAGATGACTCCGGCCCACAGATTGATCACTTGTGCTTTATGAATGGAATCATAAGATATTTTAAATTTGAAAATATTTTAGCTTGTGTAGCCTGTTGAATTTAATAAACATAATATTTAATCTTTTCAGAGGTCGAAACAATAACAAGGGACTGCCTCAGTCTACGGTGAGTAATTTGAATATTATTTATTTGGAAAAACTGGTAACTGAAATGTGATTTTGAAACCATAGACCAAAAGTCAAGGCAAAAAAATTCCCTCTTCAATTTTATATCTCCGATATCTTTTACAGATCAGTACTGTTTGGTATAAAATTATTAGCTCTATGTCATTTTGATGATGAGTGTATAAAATGTAATATTATCTAGAAATATTTTTCATGCATAGTAATGTCATTTCTTCTTTTATAAATCACCGAAGGCAAATCTAACTCCTAAAAGATAAGTGGAATACCAGAACTGGAGTTTGCAGAGCTCTTTGGGTTTTGATTTTGAGTTAATGTGCTATCTTTTATTCTTTTCATTTTTCTTCCTTTGAAAGGGCCTTTGGATTTAAATTGGGCACAAACAGAAGAAGGTATAAGTTCCACTCACTAATTTTTGAGACTTTGTTTTTATTGGGCAGTTTTTCTTCTTTAGAATCAGGAGGACACACACTTATGTAATAAGGAGTGGTGTGACTGATTAATCCTTAGAGCGCTGTCATTGATTCATACGTGCAGAGAGCAGATAATCCAGGGTTTTCTACAACTCTACCCCATTTAGTTAAGGTATTCTTAACCCTGTTTAGTATACAGGTCTGTGAATTTTGATGCATACACTTGTGTAACCACCACCATAATCAAAATAGTAGAACAGTTACATTGCCTCTAAAAATCCCTCATGTCACTTTATAGTGAAATCTCCCCAATCACTGATCTGTCTCTTCTATTCCTATGGCTTTGTCTTTTCCTCATACATGTAAGTTCAGTTTTGCTTTTTATATCAGGCATAGTCAAAACATTGTTATTTGGTATGAAAACCTAAGTTTCTAGTCTCTAAAGAAGCAAAAGACTATAGTAAACCAAATCTTCCTTTAATGCATGTAAGGTATTACAAACCTAACTAAATATTTTATACAAAATAAATGTTTAATATATGTGCAAGGATAAATATTGATTGCTGATAATGTTTTTTTTCTTAATATTCCAGATTTCTTTTGATGGAATCTATGCAAATATGAGGATGGTTCATATACTTACATCAGTTGTTGTAAGTTATCAGATTATTGGGGAGAAACTGCCTTGGGAGTGGAATAAAATAATTTCATGAAGTTAAAATGTGGCTGAATGATTCTCTGTGTAACATTTCTTAGGTCATGTTTAATCAGGAATTCTGACTAGAATTTTGGAGGTTAGAATTCTACCCAAGTTACTGTAATTCACTATAAAAAGCATTCTTGTTAACCCTGTTGTGTACATAATAATATTAGTAGTTGTTATGATGCATTATTTTGTCACCTTATTAGGACTGGAGTCAGAAATACTTAACTTCAGTATTTAAGTTCATGCTGTAAATTCTGAGCAGAATCCTGTGAGAATTGTGTATTGTTGATATTTTAAAAACTTTTATTGTTCTGTCAGTGAGCACCTGATATGTTGAATGAAGCCTGATGAGCTATAAAACATAAATTGAAAACAATTACCACCATGACTGGGTATCACACTGTTTCTTTGATAAATTAATTATATGTTTTTAGGGATCCAAATGTGAAGTACAAGTGAAAAATGGAGGTATATATGAAGGAGTTTTTAAAACATACAGTCCTAAGGTAATTTTTACTCTTTTCCTTTTTGTTAAATGTGAAACCCCATGAATCATTAACTGCCCTGTGCTTGTGTGGCTTCCTGACAGTGCCTGTTGGTTTTTGATTTAGCAATTTATAGTTATGAGGTGGGTATGTTTGTCACATTTTCATGCTCAGTGCTTTACCTTAAAAGCACTTTTTAAAACCACTTTGAATGATTTTGCTCTTCAGATTCAAATACTGATTATTTTATAGATGGTATGTATAATCAAAAGGATTTCTTGTTCTGTGTGCTTATTAAAATATTTTGGCCTTGCCCTAGCTGGTTTGGCTCAGTGGATGGAGTATGGACTGAAGGGTCCCGGGTTCGATTCTGGTCAAGGGCACCTATCTCGATTGTAGGCTCAATCCTTATCCCCGGTGGGGCATATGTGGGAGACAACCAACTGATGTGTCTCTCTCACATCAATGGTTCTCTCTGTCTCTCCCCTGCACTCTTTCTCAAAATCAATATCCTCTGGTGAGCATGAACAACAACAAAAATATTTTGGCCTTTTCAAGTATTGTGGACCAGAAGAGGGAGAAATTGGGTTGTTTGTTTTTCTTTTTTATTACTATTAATGTTCTCGAGGCATACCATGGTAGCAAGGACCAACTTTTAGGTGAGAGGATTTTTAAAAGATGGAATGGGAAACAGTTCATATTTCTGAGGAAAACGTATAATTATAGTTCTCTTGAGATAGATTATTTTTTGCCAAAGGCATGTAAGCATAGTACTTTGATGTGCTGAAGAAGTCATGTCAAGTTTATTTTATAAATGTTTAAATATTTACTCACGTTTTTCATTTTAGTGTGATTTGGTCCTTGATGCTGCACATGAGAAAAGTACAGAATCCAGTTCAGGGCCAAAACGTGAAGAAATAATGGAGAGTATTTTGTTTAAGTGTTCAGACTTCGTTGTGGTACAGTTTAAAGATATGGACTCCAGTTATGCAAGAAGAGGTGAGTTTTTATTTCCTAAGTATGCTTCATGGTTTATAAAATTTGTTCAAGCAGACTCTACAGACATTTTTTTTAAAAGAAATATGGGCTTTAAAAAATGACCTGATTAAGATAAATGGGGATTATAATGCATTTTTGTTGGAAAATGTTAAAAACTAGTGGAAGATTCATTGCTACTTTTAGTAGGATAAATAATGAGAGTTTGTGTTCTTATTAAAAAATAGTTTGTAAAGGATTTTCTACAGTATCATGGTTAAACATGCTACTGTTATACTCATCGGAAAATTTCTTCTCCCATTTGTTCTGCAATGCTTTAGTTTATAAATTTTTCATTTTATAATGCTTATAAATAACACATAGTTTTATTAAGCTTATAGTTCTATAAATGCTTTAGTTTCAGTTTTATAAATGCTCTGTAAACAAATCAAAGGCACAGAGCTAAGGGAGAAAGGCAGAGGGCTGTGGATAGAAAATGATTAATGAAGACAAATGGTAAAGGAGAACCATACATATTTGAAAAAACGTTCAGGGTATGGGACTACGTTTAGAGAATATAAAAGCGGTGATGTATTTATATTAAAATTTAGTATGTTTCAACTGTTCATTGAGGAGAAGAATGTCAGAGTTGCTGTTATTCATTTAGAGAGCATATTTTATAGTGCTGAATGTTCAATAACATTGTACGACTCTTCTGGGCAATTTTGAACTTGATTCTTAAATTGATTTTTTCTCTTGGTCAAATTTCATAGTCAATTCTATTGCAAATTATAACTCAGCAAGTTTTAATTTTTATGATTCAGTCTATGCCAACAGCTGTTTCTGTTGTGCTAATTTTTCTACACTGTTATTTAGAAGTTATAAGCCACTAGAAAGTTAAAGCTTTTCTCTTGGACCTCTTAACAAGGTTCTCACCTATAGTTAGCTTGCTTTTTCAGAAGCTAGCCATCCTAGGTACTCTGTAACTGTGTTACAGTGTTGATGAAAGCACTGTGTCCTGTTCTTGTATCTCCTCAAATGTCTATCTTGTATTTGTTTTTTTGTTAATCCTCATTCAGTGATATTTTTTCCATTGACTTTTAGAGAGAGTGAAAAGGAGGGAGGGAGGAGTGGGGGGAGAGAGATAAAAACATCAGTGTGAGAAAAACACATCAATTGGTTGCCTCCCACATGACCTGGATGGGGAATCGAACCTGCAACCCAAGTACGTGCCCTTGACCGGCATATACATACCTTGAAATTGGCATTTTATTTTAACTTGGTTTCCTGTCTCTTTCCAATGTTCCTTTCTCACCTGCTTTTTTCTCTTGCCCTCTTTCTGTTCTTCTTATTGCTCCTCATTTATATTTTTTCTCTTTAATATCCCAATTCAACTATGTTTCAGTTCTGTGCCCTCTTGTCTATTTCCTTATTTCATTCTCCCTCATATTTCTTTCTACTGCTTTATTTCCATTGTAGTATTCTCAGTCTAGAGAACAGGGGTCAAGTGGGCCAAATCCACTCATCAGTAAATAACGTTTTATTGTAACATAGTTATGCCCATTCCTTTATGCATCGTTAGTGACCGTGTTTCATGCTACAGTGATAGAGTTGAGTAGTTGTAATGGAGACTTATATGGCTTGCAAAACCAAAAAATATTTGCCTACTTTATAGAAAACTTTATAGAAAAAGTTTGCCTACTTTAGTCCTATATCATTTTTCCTACTGCATATGGGCTGTTAGGGCTGATCAAAAATACATACCATGCTGGGTTTGGTGAAATAACACAGAACATACTTTTTGTCTCTAAACTCATGCTTTGACTGTAATCTAATAGTGTGTAATTTCATTTTTTAAAAATTTTATTTATTGATTTGAGAAAGAGATTTGTTGTTCCACTTATTCATGCATTCATTGGTTGATTCCTGTATGTGTCCTGACCAGGGATTGAACCCCCAACCTTGGTGTATCGGGACGATCCTCTGACCAACTGAGCTACGTGGCCAGGGCATCTTCTCCCTTTGCCATCACCGTTCTCTTTCCTTTGGTTTTTTTAGTGAAGAGGATGTCTCACCTCCTGCTTAATCTCGACTTCTCCAGTCATGCCCTTGACTCTGTCCATTCTGCCATTCCTGGTTCTTGCTCTTTTATATCACCTCTCTGTTTCCAAACTCTCAACCTCTTCCTCTCTGCTTACTCTTGCCCTTTAGCCTGAAAACCTATTCAAGTCCCTCTTATCCTAAAAAGTATCCCTTTTAATCCTGAGTTCTTCTAGTGACTATCTTGTCTTTCTTCCTTTCTTATCCAAACATTTTAACTACTATTTTCCACTGACTTCTCCATTGTAATCTGCCTTTTGTGCTCACATCTTGGAAACTTCTGAGGCTACCAGTAACCTCTAATTGGTAGGTTTTTGGACTCTTTTGAAGTCTTTACTGCTGCATTTTACACTGCTGATTTCACCCTCCTTCAGAGCTGTTCTTTATTCCTTATGTGTCTTATTAATCATTCCTTTTCTGCTTTATTCTTGGGCTTTGTTTCTATCACACTGCACTGCCCTTCATGTGCTTGTGTCTCCAATGTTCGTTTCTTTGCCCTCTGCTTACCACATACCAGTCACTTATATGCTCTCATAATTTCAGCTAGCACATATAAGCCCCTCCCCATAATGGCTGTATCATTGCCCTTATAACATATTGTATTATAATTAGACTAAAGGCCTGGTGCACGGATTTGTGCACTGGTGGGGTCCCTCAGCCTGGCCTGCGCCCTCTCGCAATCCGGGACCCCTCGGGGGATGTCGGAGAGCTGGTTTCAGCCCGATCCCCACAGGCCAGGCCGAGGGACTCGACCAATGCATAAATCCGTTCACCAGGCCTCTAGTATGCATATAAGATCTTTGGTTAATTTTTTCTCATCTCCCCTCTATCCCCCTTTTCCCCTGAGATTCATCAGTCTCCATGTTTTCATGCCTGTGGTTTTTGCTCCTATGTTGAGTGTCTGCCCTCTGGTAGTCAGTGCGCATCATAGCTACTGGCCGGTTGCTTAGGCTTTTATATGTATACTAGAGGCCCAGTGCACAAAATTCGTGCACTGGTAGGGTCCCTAGCGACTGCCTGCTGGGTACTTCCTCCCTTCCCCCTGCTGCCTGCTGCCGCCAGGGCCTCCCTTCCCCCTGCCACCGCTGCCGGCTGGGGCCTCCCTTCCTTCCTCCAGCCGGCCCTGCCCCCTGGTCGAACTCCCAGATGAACTCCCGGTCGAGGGGACAATTTGCATACTACACTTTTATTATATAGGATAAATAGATGTTTCTGTCTCCTTCATTATTATACTTTGAGCTCCTTGTACTAGTATGTGGGTACTGTATTTTCTTTTTTTTGTCCTCAGAGCCTGGTATAGTGTTTTGGCACATAGTACTGGTGTAATATAAATGTCTTTTGAACAAATGAAATTAGAGCCTTCATGTAAAGAGTGAGAAAGCTATAAGTATCTTATGTATACAGCCTGCCAACAAATACTTAATGAGCTGTGGAATGTGTCCATGGCTGTGCTTGTCACTATGGGAAGTACAGAGAAACTCAAGACTTAATCTACTTTGGGTCCCTTTTGAAAACTTAGTGAAACTGTATACCCTAATCCTAGAAAAACACACACACAGGCTTCTACATTTAATTCACATTTCCCTAAGGAGTTCATATATTCCATGTTAAGAAGCTCTGCCCAAGGCATGTGAAAGAAAACAAGAAGAATGGAATGTTGAAATAGGTGGCATTGTTTTCCAAATGGAGTCCAGAGATAGGAAGAATTGTATTAGTTATAGTAGTTGGAGGAAGTTGGGGTGTGAATGTGTGATTAGAGAGCAGTGAGAGAGAATGTCATACAGATTATTTTTTTCTAATATTGTAATGTTGTGGTTGCCCTGCAGGTCTGATAGGACAAGGCCCTCTGAGCAGCAGAGAGAGGGCTCTCTTCTAAAGGGCATGCATTGGGATACCATGGCAGTCATTGAAGGAAGAGACAGATCATAGAGCAGGATATGGCCTAGGAAGTCTTGGATTCTGAGGGGGTCAAACATGTTTCAGATTCATTTATGGTTGGTGCTCTGGTAGGGCAGGCAGGCCACAGCCTTGGAGCTGAGTAGACACATTCTTGTAGCTAAGAGTGCAGTAGGCTCTGTAGAAGGGCAGGAAATGCAAAAGTTGGACGGGCAGTCAGCTTTAAAGCTAGTCGAGTGATCAGGATCATAGCCTGCCCTTTGGCAAGAGGGAGGAGAGCCCTGTGTAGCAGCAGATGAGTGATGATATCCTTGTGCTAGGGCTGCCCAG